AGATCGTGTATCTAAATCATATTCTCATATATGTTCAAAAAATATTGTTTGCCACAAAAATAAATAATTTAATGTTTTGCGGGGTCAATTTTAACCCAAAACAAAAGTAGCATAAAAGACTAGACTTGCTTCAGTAGACTATAAGTTTAATTCGATGTATTTAGCTAGAATCCAGTATAACTAGCTTAAAATTATTTAATTGATAGGATTTTTTTAAATTCATTATAAAATATGTATTTGGTGACACATTTTTAATGTTTTTGTATGTTCTGAACAATATAGAATTAATATAGTAATAATATATTTATTTATGTTACTTATGTTAATTTATCCATATTTAAGAGTTTAATAAAAAAAATATAAAATGTTTAAAAAAAATTATAACATTCGTTTTTAAATAATACTATAAACCTAAATGTATATTTGTATCTATTTACGAATATGAATAAATCTAAATAAAATTTGAAACCTATATTTTTTTTATCATTTTACCACAAATTTAATTGATATTTCTTTCGCAATATCGAATTTCACTTTTGGAAAAAAAAATAACTTAACACGTATCAAAATTATAAAATTTGAAAGAAAATTCGTACATTACTTCATTTAAGTTCAACGTGCACACATTGCTATCATAATTTTCTTAATATTTTGTAAATTCGAGGTTTTTTACTAAAATTTTAAAATTTTTAAAATTTTCTTACATTGATTATGTTGTTCTCACATATTTCATTTTATGGTAAAATACACAAATGGTCCACTGATTATAGGGTACTGTTTTGTTTAGTCCCCGACTATTAGAAGTTACATAATAGTTCATCAACTATAGAGTGTTGTTTTGTTGAGTCTTTCGACAATTAAAAGTTACAAAATGGTCATCTGACTGTTAATATGTTCCAAACTCGTCCTTTTTCGTTAAAAACATGACGATCATCTAATATGAATCTTAACATGATGACTGAGATATGATAGTCGTTTGAGATTATGGGATCAAATTTTTTTAATGAAAAAAGACGAGTTTGGAACATATAAATAGTCAAGTGATCATTTTGTAATTTTTAATAGTCAAGAGACTCAACAAAGTAATGTCTTATATAGTCGGAGTATCATTTTGTAACTTTTAATAGTTGGATAACTCAACAAAATAATATCTTATAATCGGGGATCATTTGTATATTTTACCCTTCATTTTATATATCCCCCTTATAATTAGTGGTATTGAAAAAAATCCGGAACCATTAACCATTATAATTGTTACATTTAATAGGTTAATTAACCGAACTTGTAATATTAAATGATTTTGGTTAATCGAACCGCTAAAAATGATGGTTAACGGTTATGGTTATGGTTACAAATTTTGATAAACAGTTAACCGTTAAGAAATTAAATTTCTAATTATATATTTCTAATTTATTAGATTTTTACACAAATAATTTAATATAGTTCTTTATTGTTTATAATTTATATATATATTTAATAAAAATTATATACAAATAATTTAATATATATATATATTCATTTTTAATTTTTATTTATTTGAAAATATAGAAATATTCTTACATCAGTATAATTATGTGTTTATTGTTAGGTACTCTAAGATACTTTGAGATGTACAAAATTATACCGATGTAAGTATGCGTTAAGTGCTACACTTTTTATTTTATTCACTTACATCAGTGTAAGTATATGTTAAGTTATATATATATATATTGTAGTATGAATTATGAATTTTTTTTACAAATAATTCGATTAACCTGTAATCGAACCGTTAATAATGATTAATCATTAGCTGCTAACCGTTTCTTAATAGTTAAATTACGGTTAGAAAAATATCATAATATGATCGGTTAACCGTCTATGAACAACCCTACTTATAATCACACAATATTCCGTTAGTGTATTTCATAAATTTATTAATTTTAATTTTTTAATTAATATAAATTAAATCGATATCATCGACTTAACATTAGCGTGTACATAAAAAAGTACAACTCTTTAATCTAAATTCAAATTTATATATTATTACATGTGAGCTCAGTGTACACACATATTGCTATCAGGACTTGAACATTTTATAAAATTGAAATCTTTACAAGATTTTCTCTGGTTTTAAGTCTTCTCACACTAATAAAGTTATATTCGTAAATCTCATTTTATTTACTTTAATTTTCATCACACAAAACGTTCTTTCAATGATTTTATATTGTATAAAATAATTAAATTAATATCGTTAATTAATACAAATTAAATTGAAATCATCAACTTAACATTTTTTTGAACCTCAAAAGGAAAGTACAATTTTTTTTATCCAAATCAAAACTGTTACATTATCACTTGTAAGAGGCAAAATGGCTAAGACAATGTAAGTAAGATTTTTTAATTTTTAATATAGTCCATTTCAGGGATTATTTTTCCGTTTAGGGTGAATTAAACAATATCAAATTAAAAACGTCGGGTGCTCTACGTGTCTTCAAGCTAAATATGAGGACTCCACGACTACATGTTATCTTTAGGCAAATGAAGATGACCCCATGACTGTATAGCGTCTTCAGGCAAATGGAGAAGACCCTAGGAGTGTACGATGTCTTCAGATCAATAAGAAACCCTCGTTCAGACAATAATATGGTGTATGCGGAAATTTTTTCCCACAACCCTATATGAGTGAGGAATCCCATGTAAGTTTGGTGTGCACATGTATTACGACCTTGAGTTTTATGTCACAAAATTAAGGGTCTTAACGATATTTTTAGGGTTTTCATGTCACAATTATATTAGTGATATGTAAAAATAAAATAAAAATAAAATATCATGTATAAAATTATATTGAATCTTACTTACGTAAAATCTAATACATTTCTACTTAATAAACAAATATTTTAACAATATGTTAAATAGTAAATACAAATAAACACCTCATTAGTAACATAAATAAAAAAAAGTAAAATAAAATATTAAAAATTATTGGAATGGAAAGAGTAATAAATGTGGATTTTATTAAAACTCGATATACATTATTAAAGAGATGTGGTACATCAAAATGGAAAAAGAAAAAGAATTTAAACGGGAGGGGGAGGAGGAGAAGGACAAGGGAAAACGCAAAAGCAACCGCCCGGAAAACAAGCTCCATTAGCGTCAGGTCCATGCTTTTGCTTACACAAGCTCAAGCAACCATTGTTCTTGCAATTTTGCATTTTTATTCCGTCAGCGCAACTACCTATTAAATATCTTCTTTCTGCTACCACTTCTTTTCCTGTTTTTTTTTTTCCACCGATAATAAAAAGGTCAAATAATGATTGAATAGAGTAAGATAATATATATATAATAATGTATTTTTACCCGCTACGAAAAGGAGGAGGGCAATGAAAAGAATAGCAGAGACTGGGAAATTCTTCATGGCTTCCAGTTTTTTTTTTCTATTTATTTTTCTTATTTTATTCTATTTCGTGTATGAAAAAAGAAGATGAAATTATCCTAAATTTATAGTGGAACATGTATTTATCCTTTATTTTAAAATTGGAAAGATTTGTTGTATATAATATTAATCGGTAAGAAATCATGTATTTAAATCATATTACCATATATTTTGAAAGCTAATAATTGGTAAGAAATCATGTATTTAAATCATATTAAATTATATTTAGAAATTTATTATTGTCATATTATCGTCATAAATCTCGTTTTATCTATTCACTTCTTACCATGCAACATTAAGTTTTTTTTAATTAATGTGAAATAAGCTAATAGGGGTGTTCAAAATTTAGTTTTAATCGAATTAACTGATCGAACCGAATTAGTTCGGTTAATTCGGTCGGCCACCGAATTAATTCGGTCGGAGAACGATTAAGGATTTTTTTAGAATTCGTTTAACGGTTAATTCGGTTCAAAATCGGTTAATTAACCGAATTAACCTTTAAATATAATTATATTAAGAGGCTCAATCCATTTAAAATTTATTTAAAACCCAAATCAATATTAATTAATTAAAATAATATCAAAACTAAATGCAAAATGTTTGAATCAAATTAATTAGATATTATTTATAATTAGATATTATTTAAATTAATTGTAAATTATTTTTTTAAATTAAAAAATATATTAAATTCTAAAATTCTAAAAAAATTTGGTTAATTCGAAAATTAACCGAAATTTATTCGGTTCGGTTAATATTTTCGAAAAAAAATTTGATTTGATTAACGGTTAAAGAAAAAAAAAGTTCAGTTAATTCGAAAATGATAGTTCGGTCGGTTCGGCCACCGAATTAACCGAATGAACACCCTTATAAGCTGATATCATCAACTTAACGTTCATTTAGTCTTCAAAAAGGAAGATACAACATTTTAATCCAAATCAAAATGTGTGCATTATCACACGTTACAGCTCAATGTACACATGTGATCATGACTTTTGTATTTTATAAAATTAAAATTTTTATTGGAATTTCAAGGTTTTTTAAGCCTTCTTACATTAATTATGTTGTTATTGTGAATCTCATTTTATTTGCTTATCATCGTGTAACATTATTTTGATGATCTTGTATTTTATAAAAAAATATTTCTATTATTTTAATTAATAACAGTATGAATTAAATTGATATCAATGATTTAATATTCATTTGAACCTTACAAAAGTATGCCTAATTAATCTTAAACTAAAATTAATTACAAAGTAGTATCTATCTAAATCATTTAAAAATAAATGATTAATCACTTGATGTTCGAATTCATAACATCTAAAAATAATAATTGATCTTTTAATCATTTGAATAAGTTGATTTGTGTAACTTAACCTACGTAAGCTTAATATACACGTGTTACTATCGTGACTTCTATATTTTATAATATCGAAATCTTTGACGAGATTTTCAAGACTTCTATACCTTGTCACACTATTCACGTTCCCTCATGAATCTCGTTTTTACTTTTTAATTAATTCGAATCAATCCACTTCACCGACTTAACATTAGGTTAAGAGGTATAACTCTTTTGATTCACGAAGTCTTCTTTTACCAAAAAAAAAACAAAAAAAAAGTCCATAGTTTTTCATTTCAGAGAAAAACAAGCTTTGAGAGATGGAGGAAGCGAAGTCAATGACTCAGCAGCAGCAGCAATTTCTCTTACAGAAACAGAAACAGCAACAGCAGCAGCAACAAATGCTTCTCTTACAACAGCTTCAGAAACAGGCCCAGCACCATCATCATCAGCAGCAACAACAACAAGCGATTTCTCGGTTCCCTTCCAACATTGATGCCCATTTACGTACTACTCCTGGCGTTCTTCCCAATCGTCCTATTAACATCCATCAAAACCTTAATTCTACCCCCAATCCTAACCCTAACCCTAATTCCGCTCCTAATTTACAACAACCACAACAACCTCCACAATCACAGCCGCCTCCGCAGCAGCAGCAGAAGCAGACACGACCGTTGAATCAAGCGGAACTCCAGATGGCTTATCAGGATGCCCTGCGTGTTTGTCACCCTGATTTTAAACGACCATTCTCTTCCCTTGAAGATGCATGTGAGAGGTTTGTCTGGAAATTCTCTTAACTTTTTAGTGAATGGAATTCTGTTTTTTTTATTCCTCAATTTTTCTTTTTTTGTGTTGGTTGGTATGGACTTGGGAAAACCAATATGATAATTGTTGCAAATCATATAATAGATGTTATTTGCTTCTTTAGTTTTATTGTTAAGTATATGTGAAAAGGCGGGAGTTTGAAATAATGGTTGAGATGCTGGGAGTTTTGAATAATGGGATCTGTTTACTATTTTATAGAATTTTGGTTTGCGTGTTTAGCATTTGTAAAATTAATTTATAGGGACTTATTTATGCTATTTTCGAATTCAAAATTGAAGTATGTATTGTATTCCTGCTGTTTGGTGTGTGAATTTGGGCAGTTTCATAGTGTAATCATTGTATATTGTTATATATGTCAAGAGAAATTAGGGTTTCAAAATTTGTGACCGCCATAAGTTTTTTAGCAGTGCTAGAATTATGGATTTATAATGATTTAGGAACAATTTATGTTAGATATCGGGATGCTTCCTCGCATGATGAGATATGATTGTAAATGAGATTTCCAGAAACCGTGGGAGATAATGTTGGTTTGTTTTATGTAGCAACTGTTTTTTTTGAAAAAAATCTAATTCATCCAAGGTTGAGGGCATATATGTAGAAGACTACATTATTTTGTATATGTGCATTAATTTATTGGAGTTTATATGCATAAGACCGAAAAATTGCTGATGCATTGTGACACATGGCATTGTTGGGAAGATTTGTGGGATTTATCAACATGTGTGTGACAATTGGTAAATTAGCTTCTGCTTGGTTCCCTAGCAAATAGGAGATAAAATAACTTATGTTCCATTCATTAGAAACCCGTTCCGTTACAGTTTCGTCTTGGTCCGCTTTATCATCTATTACATTGGGAGAAATGAAAAACAAGAAAATAAATGAAAATCAGTAGCATTCAGAGTTACTTGAAATTATATTCACAAAATTGCATCTTCCTGATTGCATTGAGTTCAGCTGTCACAATGACTCATACAACTAGCCATCATAACATGTTTGTTTGATTGGATAAATTGGAGTTGACAGAATGATTAAATGATATCTCTAGTGTCCTAACTAGTGTGTTTTCCGTTTTCGTCTGCTGCTATCATATTTCCCAAGATGTTTCACCCAGTTTTTGGACTTTACTTTGTATTCCCACTAGTTCTGTCTTGCACCAGTTTATGTATCTTCTTTTCAACTGATAGAGGAGTAAGAATTTTCTATTGGAGACTTTTAAAGTTAGTTACAAATTTCATGCTTCATTGTGTCCTGAGGCTTCTAAAGTAATTGTTTTTGTTACTGAATACTTGTTTAGTGTCTTGGTTCGTTTGAATTTTATTAATCTACAAAATCGAGAAGGTGTGGAAATATATGAACATGCATGCTATTTAAAATAATTCTGCTTCTCCTGTCTGCTGAATCCTTTTCCCTTCCTATAGTCCCTTCTCTTGATTTATTCATCGCCTATACAATTCTCTATTAATTTGTCAGTTGATGGAAATAGTCTTTGTTTTAGTGTATAGATATAGAGGGGTATGGACTGAAGACAATAACTACTGTCGAATTTTATGAGGACAAAGTTACAGTACCGATGGATAACATATTGGCCTACCTATTTAACTTTGACCTTTGGATGCCATTGGCTCTATTCAAATGCTTTGAAATATCTCTGTTTCAGGTATTCTTTTTTGTTTCTCAAGTTATATGGCCAAATTTCCCATGGAGAATAATAGACCTGGCAGTATAATTTGTTTGTGTCATAATCATGTTGAAGGTATTTTTTATATGTATAAATTTGATATTAGTAATTCATATCAAATATATTTTGAAACATACGTGTATCTGTGTCATGGTTATGTTATTTTTGTGTTTCATGCTTTGTGTTGTGTATTGTCAAGCTTGATAAAATAGATTTTAGTTCTCTTTGTACTTGAAGAATTTACATCAACAGTTCGGGTTAAATGGTTTTTTCTTGCTTTATATTTTTTTAAATGTATTTCATGAAAATGTGCAGGTTACTACCTTACCATGTTGTAGCGGATTATGAAGAAGAGGAGGATGACAGAATTCTCGATTCTGACCCAGCTGGCCAGATGCCATCTCGCTCCCAGCAGTGGGATCACAACGTTGCTGCCAAAGTTGCAGAGTTCGCTGCCACATTTGAGAAACAGGCACTTGCCTTCAATATAATATCTCGCAAACGAACTGCAGGGGAATTTCGATCAGAGGAAAGGTTGATGGTTGAGCAGGCTCTTCTCCAGGAAGAGAAGAGAGCCATGGTGGAGTTGAAAGCAGAAATAGAATCTAGGGAGAAGGCTGGTCGGGAGGCTCATGAGGCTAAGATGCGTATGGCAGCAATGGTTCAGGCAGAGCAAGCTCGAGCCGAATCCCAAGCTCATGCTGAAATTATGGCCCGAGGCCCTATAAGGGTAAATGCACTTGGATCTCAGGGAGGCAACCTTCCAATTATTCACGACATTGGGGAGCAGTCACAGGGTGTGAACCCTGATGAGATGATGAATGGATGGGGGAACAATGCACAGAGGGATGAAAAGGAGCCATCCGAAGATTTCTTAAATGATGAAGAGACTGACAATGGAGATATGGGGGTGCAGAACGAATGGCGTGAAGTTGGTGAGTTTGATTTGAACAGTAGATAAGTCATGAATGGTGATGGTTATCGGCATTTTAGTATCCCCATCTTTTTTATAATCGACTGCCTTTGTTTTTCTAACTTTGTAAAAGAAAACTCGGCTTAGATGATCTTGTGTTTATATTGTCTTAGACAAGCTAAAGCAAATAGTTTTATTCTGTGGTGAACTGCTTGAGGCTTCCATTTATCCTTTTAAAGTATCTTGTAAATTCTCAAAAATTATTTAATTGGTTTTGAAATTGTCTTACGTCTTTTTTTTCCTCGAAAGAAAGATACTTCTTTTTCTATTGAAAACAAATATAAAAAAAAATTCGAAAAACATTTATAGACACAGATGGACAAATGTTTCTGTCAAATCGGAATTTCTGTTTCTCTTTTATTTTTCTTTCGGGTCTTCAATTTATTATTCTTCGCATTTTTATTTTTCCAAAATTCGGGGATTCTTTCCTCAGTTGATTTTGCCTGTATGTATAGTTTTTGCTACATTCTTCTCTTTAACATCATTAAATTTTCATGGATGCCAATACCATAGATAAAGCTCATGTTTGCATTTCTTAAAAAGACCAAAAGGAAAATTAGGCAAAATGAACTCAAAACTTAGTCCAGATGATTATGCAACCAATCTTAAGAAATTATACCAATAAATCTAACTTGCAACATTTGCAATTTTTTTCTATCCCGAGATGCAATCAACTTGGTACCAAAAGAAAAACAGTGCAAAAGAAGAAGACCACCAAGACTGAGAAAACTCAGTTTCTGATTTCTATACGAAATAAGGCACTCGCTAAGCAAGAGAAAAGTAAATAACAAACCAATATGGTGGTGCCTACTTTTCCCTTTTCTTTTTCTCCTACACATCTCATTCTCATGCACACAGATGGACAAGCAAAGAACATTATCATCCAAAATTAAACTTAAAGCCAACCAAAGCAAGGAGAAAGAAAAATGAGGCATTTCTTTAACCTCGAATCGAAGAAAAAAAACGGGGGACAAAACCTTCATCGGTACCTAAAAAATGTTGGGGAGCTGGGAATCCAATCTCTGCTGCAACTCCTTGATCTTCATGGAGAGCTCCAGTTTCTGCTCCTTGTAGCTCTGCAACAAAAACTCTTTTCCTTCTATTACCTCTTTTAACTCTCCTACTTCTCTCTTCAGCATCTCGATTCTCTCCCCATCTCCCCTTCCCATCTCGGGGGAGCCTGAGTTGCTTTCCACATCAAGACACCCATTGGCATGGCCATTTCTTATGTCAGAAGGCCATGGTGTATCAGTTGATGTTTTCTTATTCGTGCCAACATTTCCTACACAGTGATCTGCAATTGCCTTCCTCAGCCTTTGGATTTTTCTCTCGGAGTCGAACAAGTTTCTATTTGCCGCATCCAGCTGTGATTGTAAGTCAGTTGAGTGTGCCACCTGAGCATTCAGTGAATTCTGAAGCTCCATAATTTGATCCTGCATCTCCAAAATCATATTATCTCTTCTTTTCATTTGTTGCCTTAGCTTTTGTATCACTTCCCTCTTGCTAAATATGTCGGAGCCTGATTCTGAGACACATGGTGAGTCAGAGCAGTTAGACTGATGGAATGGCTTCGGAGGTAACTCAAGACGATCCAGGGATGATGCCCACATAACACCATTATCCTTGTTGAAATCCGACGTGGGAACTGTCACCAGCGGAAGAGCAACTTCAGGTTCGGGCCGCATCTGACCATTGGGTAGGTGCTTCTCACCCATGTTTTCAGCTCCTGTTTTGAACCCAAACTTCAATGAGAAACCAACATATCCACGGAATATTAGAAACACACACATACTTTAACTTTCACTACTGAAAAATAACAATGCATTAGAGAGTACATGAATTTAAGACTAGCCAAAGTAAGAATGTAAAGAAAAAGAGACCTCCAAAAGGACCTTGCCTCCCGATATGAAGAGGACTTGTATTAATCTACACCATAATTTTTTTCTAAACTAACAGTGTCGGACACAAATTAACACCTCAAGGCTCCAAGTGGATATGATTAAAAACAATGAAAAACTGAAGTTGTCATGTATAACAAGGCAAGGAATCCATAAAAGGCTAATTAGAATAGGAAAATGATTTGTTTCTTCTAATTCCGGCCAATAGGTTACTATTTGCACAAAGAAAGGAGTTTTTGCAAAAGAAAACAAACTAGAGGATTCATAACAATTCAATTTCTTCACTTTTATCATCCCAGTCAAAAGACCAAAGCATGGTGAAAAACAAAACAAGTGCTTGTTTATACGGAAAAGCTTTGGACATCTCAAACAGTAAGAAATCTGCATCACCTGACATGCAGTTGAAACAACCACCATCTTCTTCAGTGAACGAGTACATGTTTGAATGTAAGCAGCAACCCGATGATATCTTTCTGTCAGAAGCTCCATTCCCTGTAATGAACTCTAAATTTATAAGCAGCTATGTATTCAATACAAATTATTGGAGCAACAGATGTTAATATACCTTTCAAGCTGGCAGTAGCATTATCTTGTTGCTTCGCATCAATTGCCTGCTTCAGCCTGTAACCAAGTCGGACCGATAAGGTACTCAGCAAAGCACCACCGGCAATGAGAATCCAATTTCTCCCCTCACCCTGAATTTTTTTTGACTTTTGACCCCTAGATACCCGACTGCTGCTTATATTCATTTTAAGGGCAAGTAAGGGTCAGATTGGAAAACTCCGAATCACCCAAGTATGACCTACATTCAGAGTGTACAACATGCAATTACTATTGATGTAAAACAAAAGTTAGATGAAATAGCATCAAGAGAGCAGTAAGTTCTACAAATTCTTCACAATAAACAAAAGTGGTACTGAGACTTAAATGTGAACAAAATATATTTATGTAAAATTCTTCAATTGAACAACTTTTTGAGATATATTAGATAACTTTAATTGAAGAATCAATTCCCTTCTCCTGACATGTCACAGACCTTCTACAAATTATAGATATTTATTTATGTTTTTTACTTTTTTTAGAACGTTCCATAGGGAAAAAATATCTGTGGCTCTTGATGGATAAGCTTTTGTCACAGGAAATTGAGTCAAAGTCATGCATCACATCCAGGATCAAAAATATTTTGAATAACAAAGACACAAAACTCTCCCTATGCTACGCTTTATGCAACAAGCTAGATAACAAAAAAAATTCAATTAAGCTGTTCAACTTACAACAGAGCAGTTTAGTCTCTCTTAAGTGAAATATCACACATAGAATGTTGAAAAATGAAAATGCAAACATCAACATCTCAAGCATTACATGTTTAAACCATATAATAGTGTTTAAAGTCCTATAATTCTACCTGATTTAGGCAGTCAAGTAGCTTATAAACACTAGACAACATCTTAAAAACAGATGAACCAGACGCTCAAGACAAACAAAATCAAGATCCTACGAAAATCACAGGAGAAAAGTACCAATCCACCAATCATAATGAAAGTATGCATAAACAGTGAAGAACATTAAATTCACATTATCCTATACTAAAGTGAAACAATATTGTTCTACAAACTCATCTGTTACACGCCATTTTAACTATGTATGTAAATCATCAAATAAGACAGATATAATCAAATAAAAGTTAAAAAAAAAGTAAATATGTGAGATTAAGTTAAAATCAAATGCCCAATGCTACAACAAAGCAGATATAGTATCAAATTTCCACACGGCCAAGGCACACTTGTCTAAATAAGCTTCAATACTTCCCATCACATTGAAATCCATATATTACTGCTGAATACTGACGAATACACACTTCAAGTTCTAATATCACAAGCTACCCGTTATCTACAACGGTGCCCACATTTCTCTCAACACCTGCAAGCATGGATACATTGAAAAAACGTAATTTTGTTAAAAAACTACAGTCCTACATGTTTCTAATAACAAATCCTAAATAATCTAAACTAACCACCACCCCCCCCCCAAATAATAATAATAATAATAATGAGGCAATTTTTTAACCTTTCAATTTTAATTCTTCCCATTCTTTTGGTTATTAATTCATGGCAAAAAAATAAAAAGCTTGGAAATCAAACAAATAAAACTCACGTTAACTGAAATGGTAAAGTACAAACTTTATCATCTTAATCAACAAAAAATGGGATATCGAACTAAAAACAAAGCCGGAAAATCGAAGAGCCGGCAAAGGCGAACCTCATCCAAGAGAAATCAGGGTTCAGTTCGACAGGGTTTCCAGGAAACTCCGTCAATGGCGTCGTTTTCGACAAGTCCTTGCTTCCCCTCACTGTCAGTATTCACTCCCTCTCTTTCTCTCTCTCTCTCTCTCTCTCTAGAAATGGCAATTAACCGAGGGCTTTCCAAATGGCGACTTTTGTTTTAGGCTTCTGCTGATAGGTAATTTTCTTTTAATTAAACAAAATAAAACTTTCAAATATGAATTTTTATTTAATTAACTTTTATTAAAAAAACAATCTTATACATAAATTTTTCAGTGTAGTTAAATTTAAAAAATAAATAATTTAATATTTGACATTAATAAGATATTGTTTATAAATTTATTTTTCTATAATAATATATAAAATAATGGTTTATTAAACATTATATTTGTTTTCATTTTGTGCTCAAGTGTGTGGTATACGGGTTTTGATTTATTTATTTATTAATCTTAAAATATCTTTTACTTTTTAATGGTAATTATTAGACCGATACATCATTTTTGGAAAATAAATTTGCAAATAATGTTTTAATTCTAATGCATTTTAATTTTTAAGGAGATTATTGGCACAGGAAATAATTTCTATTACTTTTTTTAGTTTCTTAAAGTCATATTCATTATATTTCTTTTAAATATAAAACATATAAAACCGGAGGGTTTTACCGGGTCGTAATGTACACGTGTCGGCTTTTGCCATCATTTTTCCGTTTATTACGGTTTAAGTTTGTTGGGTTTGGATAAATTATATATATATTTTTCTGTTTTCCTTATTATATTTTTTGGATAAATTCTTTTCTTTCGTTATTAAAAATTAGATGCCTACATCTTTACATTATATATTTTTAATTATTTCTATGTTCGGATATTTGGTTCATTATTGAAAATGGATGTGCACATTAATTATTTTAATAATTTCTTTTATCTATTTACAAGAATAATAAATTTAAAAATTTAATTGCGCCCACATATACTCCAAATAAAATATTAATTAATCTAAAAAATTGCTTTATAGTAAAGGGTGAATGATTGATCTGCCTTTTTCAAAAGTGGGGGTGAATAACACATTGAGTATACTTCACTCAAATAAGAGTATACCTTTTTTCATTAGAAATAAGAGTCTAGTTAAGAGTGTGAAATATGGACAGAAAAGGAAATTACGCATATAAAAATAAATACGAGTGTTAAATAAAAAAAATCTCCCATATGCGAGGATGGACTTTCATGTATTTATTCGAAAATTTACTATATTCTAATTATTTTAGATTAATAAAAAAATTGAGGGATTAATTTATAAAATAAGAATATAAATTTCGATTTTATAAATGTTATTAGTATATTGCCTTTTTATAGTGTTCCAAATATCATCTTCAGCTTCTCCTCTAAGGCAGTTCGTCGCTACACTGGATATCCTGTCAGGAGTCCATGCATTTGGTTGGCGATTGGCATATGAGACGTTGTCGGGTGAACATCGGCTAGCGATGATCGGATATGAAACTGGTGTTTCTCATCTCTGCAGGTCAGCGGTGGAAACTATCATTCATTTACTACGGGATACGATATATATCTTAGAGCAGGTTGGCTTCCCTATATTCCTTCTCTCTTCATCCACATCCTCTTGCGGCAACTGGTTACTGTTTGTACAGACTATCCTTGAGTCTAGGCGATTCTGGTACTTCTCCATGGGCTTTGGACTCGTCTTAATGTCTTTGTTCACGAGGGCCGGCTGCAACCAGGGTGGGCTGTCATTACCAAGAGCAACTCACTGCAAGCCGCTTATCTTGGGGCCAGGGGCTCTCTTCCACCTCTTACATACACTATCTCCCCACGTTGATGCAAACCTGGTGCGGGCACGCTCATTAAGATAAACGTTGATGGGACTGTTGCATCGCCACCACGCTCGACGCCCATCAGGGGTGTTGTCCGAGATAATGGTGGTTTTGTGCTGCAAGGTTTTGCTTTGCCGGTTGAAAGCCGCGGGGATGCTTTGGTTGTTGAAGTAATGGCTATCACATCAAGTCTTCGGGTTGCATGCACGCTACAAGCCGATTATGTTATAGTGGAGAGTGACTCTCTCAATCTCGTCCGGCAGCTGCACCATCGTCGTGTGGACGTCTCTGTTACCTCCTTCCGCCTTCTGGATGCACATAATCATGTGGGGGTGTCGTTTGCTCGTAGATCAACCAATGCAGCTACCCATACTTTGGCTCACCATACATCCTTCTATAATGTTGCTTTATCCTTTGACTCCGAATATTCTGACCGTATTGAAGCAGCCAACAAATGTTATTTCTGATGCCATTCACGGCTAGTTAACGAATTACGTAACCTTTTTAAAAAATCATATATTTATATAAATCAATATACGTCAACAGTCTATTAATTTTTTTATTTGGATATTTTTATTTTTATGCTATATTTTTTTTCTTCTAATGTTTTAGTTTTTTATATTGTTTAATCATATTGTGTGCAAATTTTTTTTTAAAATAAAAATATTTAGTGCAAAATACATTAAAAGATAACTCATTATAAATAAATTATATCAATAATCAATTAATCTAGTGAGATGAAACATTATATCCCTTAAGCAAGGTCAAAATTTTGATTTATAACATTATTAATGGAACAAACTGAGTTAAAAACATAGTCATCACTAATTAGTAGATATAATACATGTGGTTACACAAAAAATATAAATATACTTGGCATTTATTATTTGTTCAGTGATTATAATTAAGGCATTATATTAAAAAAAGTTATGTTATCAACTAGTAATTATGAACGGAAAAATGAAGAAACTACGGCTTAAAAAAGTGATTATAATATTGGGTTGGGCCGAGTTGATTTGGGCCGTAAATTGTTTTGGTTATTCCCCGCGTACTCTCTCTTGAATAAGATACCAGCTAGTGTTTATTTATTTAAAAAAAATAGCCATCACAATAAATATCTATTACAGAAGAAAAATATCGAAAACAAATCTGAAATCATGCTAAAAATTACGAGCTAAATGATAATATTAAGTATGAGTGTCGATATGATAGAATGTTGTTACCCCGTTCAAAACACAAGTGACCGCCTCATCGGCTTCACGGTGGATCTGGGCGATATCGGCATATCGCTTCGTTTGGATCGGATCTTAGACTAAGAGGCTGTTTGTTTACTTCATAATGATTAAGCGCTGAATGATTCAAATGTTGAATGATTCAGAGGCTCCGTATGAATTAGTTATGAACGTGACATTCTGTTTGATAATGACTCTGAATCATTCATAATGTACTTCTGTGCTGAATCATATAGCATTGTTTTGCTGAATCAGTCAACACTGAATCATTCAGAGGTGCGAAACAAACGCGCTAAATGTTGAATCGTTCAGCATTCAGTGCTGAATGATTTCATTAAGAGGCAAACAAACATCCCCTAAGTAAGTTCAATTTAAGTCAACACTGTTTGAATTATTATTTTATAATTAATATACTTTTAATTTAAATATAATTATAAAATTATATAAATATTATTTACGAATAAAATGAAGTCGATAGTTTATGATGATTCATCTAATTTTATCTGAATTGACTTTCCATTGATCAACTGCGGTCGATTCCATAAATTTTATATTAGTGAATAACTGAATATCTTATTCTTAAAATAGTAACTAGTGATTATATCTTATTAAGCATACAAATATATTAAGTGGTCTCAATGATTAAGGGGATATATCTCGAGTTTAAGTAGTTGCGTATGTAAGATGTGTATGTTGTCAATAATTAAGAAAGATTATGAACAAATACTATCTTATAATCACCCTAGACTATTATAAAAAATTCTTATTAAGCATACATTTTGAAGACTAATTACTTAATTAGATGCAAATTAATTTTATTTTATGTATAAAACTTACAAGTAAACAAATAAATTAAAGGGGTTCATTAAAGAAAGTATTTATTATTTTTCATATATAGTTGAGATCATTTAAAATGGAGGTTGGCACGGGAAAATAAGTACATGTAGCCAAAATGTCCCCTTGAAAATATGCCAATAACATGTGATGTTGGGTCCACATTTTCTGCAAAAATTGTCTTCTCTATGATTTTATTTTATTTGCGTCCAGTTATAATATTGGGCATGTTTTAATCTCTAAACCTCTATTAAAATTCACACTTAAATATGTTTTATTTTCAAGTGAAAGTTCGATTTAAATTGAAAGCACACTTAATTATAAATTGAAGTTTATTTGAATAAATGTGAAGGGTGAGGTTTTTTTATACGAATCAAAACTTTAAAATTATTATTTGATATATTATTAGTGATTTTTTCTTCTATAAGTAGGATTAAAATCATTTATGGACGAAATTATATTGACTTTAGGATTGGTTTTGGGCTCAACTTTTTTAGTCGAACAATAATTTAAGTTATTACATATTTAAATATTACTTAAATTAAAAGAATAATATTTGATGTATTAAGCATAAATAATTTTATATATTATTAGTGAATACAATGTTAATATGTAATTATAAAAAAATTAAGTAATCTTATTTTAAATTTATTATGGGTGACATGTCATCATTTGATTAGCTAATGATGTATAAAATTATACATTTTTAATACATCAAATACTCAATCATTAAATATTGATCACTTTTTATTTTATGAAATTTTAAAACCAGATTATTTTAAATATATTAATTGATTACCGTTAAAAAGTTAATAATGATGCTAACATATCATTTCTTTTATTAATTTTTAATAGTGACATCTGTTAATTTTTTTAATGATAGATAATTAAGATAATTTAAATAATAATAATAATTAAATGATTAAAATAAGTAATTTATTCTAAAAATAATAATATCCGGTGAAGGTTATCCTTAAAATTAACAATGAGATATAAAGCCTAAAGAAACAGGTGCTAAATTCAAGAAATATGTGAAAGGGGGATGGTCCATAGAATTTATGAAGTGGCAGCCCCACGACACTGTATCTGATGCCAATGCAAAACCCCAAAACTTGCATCAAACGCTAAGGACCCCACCCTTTTGTTAATACGCCTCTATCATTCTTTTCACCTCTTCTATTCCCGGTCCCACTCCTTTTTTTGTTCTCATTGTTTTTAACGTATGATTCATCTTTCCCCATTCCTTATCAT